GCGAAAAGAAGTTTGATGAGTTGATGTTATTTTTAGGTTTTTGAGAAGAAACTGTTTTTATTAGAATCATACTAAAGACTTTGGATAGAGATGAATGTTTCGAATAACCAATTCGAACGCCTTGTATTCAAAACATTCGGAACGAGTGTAGGAGGGGTTCCATTCTCATTCCTTCTCCACCAGTTTAAAGCTCATGGCGTATAAACCCAATTGTATCTTTATTGTTTTTTTTATGAGAAAAATACCACTTGATGTTGGATCAAGGGTTTTATTGCTTGTAAAAATGTTTGAAGTGATGCGAACAAGGTCGATGGCGACGCACAAACCAATCGACTTACAAGGTTGAAAATGGCTCGATAAAATCGAGAGCTTATTTTTTTTAAATAGTTTTTGGAACCAAATGTCAAAAATGAACGTAATAATATCCACATAAAGTGGTCGTATAACCACATCGGGTTAAACGGCTTGAAAGTCGGGAAAAAACAGGAGAAATAGCAAAAAAAAGTGAGAAAAAAACAGGGGCCTGACACGACCCGTGTCAGGAAGTGCCCACAGCATGGATTTTGGAGGTAAAATATGAAGCTGACACGGCCGCCCGTGTCAGCACCCCTGGGAGATGCGCAAAATGGAAGGGAAAATAGCAAGCTGACACGGCACGTGTCAGCCCTGCTGAGTGAAAAAAACTAAACCTTTTCCTTTTTTTTTACAATGGTTCTTGGTCACTCTTGTGACCTTACCACAATATGTACAACACAAATATCACTTAAAAGAGAAAATAAAAACAATGCAAAATATGTAAAGAGATGAGAGTTTGAAAGAAAAGATACCCAAGAGCTACTATTCTCCTTCTAACCACCAATGGCTTTTGTTTGATGTGCTCTATGATTCACTTCCTTCTTCTGGTTTTCTATCACTCTCTTGTTCTCTCAATGGTTTTTTCTTTCTTCTTTCTCAATCTTTTTTTTCTTGTTTTTTCTATGGTTGTCTTGTGTTTTTATGTGACTCTCTTGATCTCTCTTAATGTTTTTTTCTTAGTTTTTCTAGTTTTCTCCCCCTCTCTTGTTCTCAATCTCCTATTTTTCTTAATGAAATCTCCCCCTTATAATCAAAGCAATATGGTTCTCACTTTTTTAAAAGCTTCATATTTTCATTGAGAAATTCCTCTTACCACTTTCTTGATGTCACTCTCTTTCTTTCCATTTTCATGTGTGCTGCTTTTCTGCACTTGCTGCTGCACTTGCCTAGGCCTGTTTTTTCTTCTGCACTTTGTATTGCTCTCAAATCCTGAACCCATTTGTTTGCTTGTGCTTGGACTGCCCTTGTGGTCCATGTTTCTACTTTTGACAGCATTTTGAAATTCTGATATTTGATATGTAGATGCATCATCATGAGACCATACCTTTGGTTTTGTGACATGAATTGTTTGGTTATGAGGCAATTTGTCAATTCTTGCATGAGACTGTTTTAGATCACATTAAAATTTCCCATGACTAAGCATGCATAATCTTGATCTTGAAATGTTCCAATGTTAAGTTGAATCTTAATTATTTACCTTGGATGTTTGTAGGCATAATGAGGAACATGTGGACTTGATGGGGCATGAAGGGTATCATAACATGAAGTTGATTAGAAGTTTGAATTAAGATTAGAAATAGCTTAATTTTCTAAGCATTACTTAGAGTTAGAAACTTTGTAACAAATGTGACATTCTTGCAATGTCATGAAGTTTCCCTTTGTAATATTCTTGAATCTAATCTTGAATTCATGAATCTTGAATTTGGAATGATGTATCTCCCTTATGCCATTGAATTTGAAAGGGATGGAGTCTTGAATTATGAACTTGTAATCTTTTGAATTCCACTTGAACATGGAATTTGAAACAAAGTTGGATGAAGAAATCTTGAATTAGGCCTTGCACCTCATGTTCATTAGGAATATTGATCTTGAATATCCTAATATTTTTCAATAACTTCTCCTTAAAGGAATCTATATGAGTAAACTTTTCAACTTGAATCAAACCTTGGATGATGAACCTTTTCTTCCATGTAGTCCATGACAGGCAATTTATCTTATTTGGAATGGAAAACAACGAACCGACCCAATCCTTACCTTGTGAACCCACATGCTCGATATGCAATAGAACGATGTATGATATGACGAACGTATGGTATGAAAGGCTAAAGGTGAAAATGAGGGTGTGACAATATAAAATTTTGGCTAAGCTATTGGCATCAAGGTTGAAAAATGTTCTTGGCGGATTGATTTTACGTTGCCAATCGAATTTTTTATCGGGAAGGAAAATCTCGGACAATGTTTTAATGGAAAACAAAGTTGTGGATCAAGCAACAAGGGAGAAGATAGATTGTATTTTGTTCAAAGTGGATTTTGAAAAGGTGTACGATTGCGTGAGTTGGGATTTTCTTAGATCTATGCTAAAAAAAGGGTTTGGCAGCACTTGGATGGGTTGGATGAAAATGTGTATTTTCAATGGCCATTTATCTATATTAGTTAACGGCAGCCCGAGAAGGATTTTAAGGTGGAGAGAAGTTTGAGGCTAGGAGATCCCCTATCTCCCTTCCTTTTTGTGATAGTTGCAGAAGGTCTATCTCAGCTGTTTCGTGATGTTACTACTAGAGGAACTTTCGATGGTTATAGAGTGAGGGATGGTCTTTCTATTGATTTTATCCAATTCACGGATGACACACTCATGTTGGGTTCAGATAGCTAGAAGAATTTATAGAGTATCAAAACCATTTTAAGGGGTTTCGAAGTGGTTTCGGGTTTGGGAGTAAACTTTCATAAAAAGTAATAAACACTTCTTGCTTGGTGTCTATAACTTTTTGGCCTATAAGGTGGAGATTTTTGCTTTTAATTTTCTCGGTCTTCCTATTGGATCAAACTCAATGAGATTAAAAATGTGGACAACTGTCGTTGAGAAATTTAAAACGAAGTTAGCTTTATGGAAAGGGAAACTCTTATCTTTTGGTGGGAGAATTGTTCTTATTAATTTTGTCGTAAGTAGTCTTCCAATCTTTACTTTCTCGTTTTATAAAGTCTCAGTGCAAATATTGAAAGAAATTGATAAGATTCGTCAAAGGTGTCTTTGGGGAGGAACGGAGGAGAAATCAAAGATTCATTTGGTAGGTTAGGAGATGGTTTGCAAAGATAAGGAACTTTGAGGTCTTGGTATCAAAAGTTTAGAGGAGTTTAATTTGGCTTAGTTGTCAAAATGGAAATTGAGGATTCTAGTAGAAAAGGAGGCGTTGTGGAAGAAAATCATTGAGGCAAGATACGTTGATTGTGAGGAACTCGTGTTTTCCAATGAGAGTTGTAAAGCCTCATTCCCTTCTTCAACACGGTGGAAGGATTTGAGAAAGCTAGGAGTTGTTTCTTCTAACTTAGGTTTTGATTTTGCAGGTAATCTTAATCACATGATTGGAGACGAAAAATTAACTCGGTTCTAGTTAAATAAGTGGTGCAAAAATAATACTTTGGCGGCCTTATTCTCGGAGTTATATTTGTGTAGCAACTTGCAAAGTTCTACTGTCTTTCACATAGGAAGTTGGATAGATTCAAGTTGGAGGTGGGGAGATTATGGGATTCAGTACCAGGAAGAAGAAGCTATCAGCAGCAGGATTTCACAATTGTTGGGATTGTTGTCTTTCTTCACTCCTGTTAAAGATGTTGAGGACACAATGTATTAGGGAAATTGTGTTTCTTTCTTCGCTGATGTTGAAACTGTGGATACATCGGGAAAGGGAATTAATGTTTCCAGCATATACACGGCTAGTGGAAGGTATAGAGTTTTCATGAAGGCTAAGGAGTCTAGTAGGATGAATGAGGATAAAAGTAAAGCTCTTAAAATTCTTTGGAAATCATCGGTTCTGGCTAACATTAAAGCTTTTAGTTGGAAGTTATTTATGGACCGTTTGCCTACTAAAGATCAACTGATCAAGCGTGGTATTAGGTTTGAGTCTAATGAAGTTGTTTGTGCGCTATGCTTTAGTGAGGAGGAGGACCTAAACCATTTATTCTTCAGCTGTACGATGCCAAACTTAGTTTGGGATCAAATAGGCTCTTGGATTGGCTTTAAGGTTAGTATTTATGGCCACTCTTGGAAGTTTTTCTTAAGCTGGAGCTCTTTTTTTAAAAGTGTATCTAGTAAGGGTAACATCGATATTATTTAGTTGGTGATTGTTTGGGGTCTTTGGAAATCTTGAAATAATATTATTTTTAATGAAGTTAAGTGTGATTTGAACAACATATTATGGTTCATCAAGTTTTTGGTTTGGAAATGGTCGGTTATTCGGTATTTCAACCTTAATATGTGTATGAACCATTTGTATTGTTTATCTTCGTAGTTGTTGTTGGTGAAAATTTTCTCTTGAACTCTTCTCTTTTGTAATTAGGTTAGAGCACCCCTCAAGCTCGTTGTATGAAATTTGTTCTAAAAAAACTTTAATACCGTGTAGTTTTAAATTCTATCTATTTATAAACATTTACTTATTTTTTGAAGCTGAGTCTCTTCGTCATGCAACAAGAACACTATGATTAGTTATCATGGAATATACCAAGATTAACTCACATATCACACGTGCAATATATAAAAGCTTCCCTTCAGCTTCATTTATCTCTATTATTTGACTAATCAAATAAAGTCAACAATAACTCATCGTCAATGTTGACCAAATCAAAACCCATAAAACTATTCTTTGCTCTGAAAAATACAACCCTGTCCCACTTCATCAACCATTTTACTACGTCATTAATTTAATTTCCTTCCCAGCTTCAAATCAAAGACACTATAGTAAATATATAAAAGTAGCAGTTTTGAACGTGAAAAAATGGTCCACATAAATGAATATTTAAAGCAAGTTACACATTAGATTTTTTATTTATTTTATATAATCTTTTAAGAAAAATTAATAATAACCTCGCCTGCTCTTCTCCTTCAACAAAACAAAAAAATAATTTGAAGAACAAAAAACAATGAAGTTTTGATGGAAGACAGAAAAGTTCATACAATCGCTGTTCTATCAGTGATATCCTTAATAGTTGTTATCATCGTTTGTCGTGTTTCCTTAAAACTCTCGAAAGCTTTCTTCCTAATTTGCGGCGCTTCAATCGCGGTGATTCTCGCTGTCTTTTCATGCATACTCATAAGATACCGTTACAATAAAAGAAGAAAAGTGTTGGAACTACAGTTGAAATCAGAAGGAAGAGAGCTTCGAATCGAGTACAGTTTCTTGCGAAAAGTTGCGGGGATTCCAACGAAATTTCGATACAAAGAGCTTGAAGAAGCGACCGATAATTTTCAAGCAATAATCGGTAGAGGCTCGTCCGCTTCAGTTTTCAAAGGCATTCTAAACGATGGAACTTCGGTTGCTGTGAAAAGAATCCAGGGTGAAGAAAGAGGTGAGAGAGAATTTAGATCAGAAGTTTCAGCTATTGCTAGTGTTCAGCATGTTAATCTTGTGAGACTTTTTGGTTATTGTAATTCTCCGACACCACCTAGGTATCTTGTTTATGAGTTTATACCAAATGGGTCTTTAGATTGTTGGATTTTTCCAGTGAAAGAAACGAGGAGCCGGAGATGTGGTTGTTTACCTTGGAATTTAAGGTATAATGTTGCTATTGATGTTGCAAAAGCGTTGAGTTATCTTCATCATGATTGTAGATCTAGGATTTTGCATCTTGATGTGAAGCCAGAGAATATACTTTTGGATGAAGATTATAAAGCACTTGTTGCTGATTTCGGTCTTGCAAAGCTTGTAGGAAAAGACGAGAGTCATGTGATGACAACGATACGAGGAACAAGAGGGTATTTAGCGCCGGAATGGATGTTAGAACGTGGAATTTCTGAGAAAACTGATATTTATAGTTATGGAATGGTTTTGTTGGAGTTGATTGGAGGGAGAAGGAATGTTTCAAGGGTGGAAGATCCAAGAGATAAGAGTAAGAAAAAGTGGCAATTTTTTCCGAAAATTGTGAATGAGAAACTGAGAGAAGGGAAATTGATGGAGATTGTGGATCAAAGATTGTTGGAAAGTGGGAATTTTGATGAGAATGAGGTGAAAAGGTTGGTGTTTATTGCTTTGTGGTGTATACAAGAGAAACCAAGATTGAGGCCTAGTATGGTTGAAGTTGTGGATATGCTTGAAGGACGCGTGAGAGTTGAGGAGCCACCAGGTACTAGAATGATTCTTGTTGATTTGTTGTCTGTTGATGAAGATCCTGGTGATGATAATAATAATCTAGCGAGGTTGTTGACATCTGTGTCTGCTCATGTTGATTGTAATACATCTACTTACTCTTTAGGTTCCACTATTTTGTCAGGTAGATAACATAACATTTTAGTGTCACAAAATGTAGTTGATTCTGTTTGCAGAAATGTTTTTCAAACATACAAAATGACATCAACTAGGCCTATGTTTGGTATTACTTCGAAACCACAGTCACACCGCAAGTTTGACAGAAGCACGGTGCATATAGCCTTAAACGTGAGGTAGCGGCAATTCGCAGAGTTTCCAAACACGCACTACATTGCATGTATAATGTATGTATGTACATTTTCGATTTATATTGTCATTTATTTTTAATCGATTCCAACACAAGACTCTTCTGTTTGAGTTACTTTAGTTTAACAGTATAAATTGGGGTGAATTTTAGCATGGACAAGATGAAAATTTGTCCACTTTGTAAGTAATTGAAGTAGTAGAAATAAAATTGGATGGTGAAGATGTAAGATATGCAAGTTACATATTTATAAGATTTTTCACGCATCTTCTCAATTCTAAGAGATGCATACAAGTTTGTTTTTGTGATTATAAGAGACGCAAGTAAAATTGGTCAAATGGATCATTCCAATCAATGGTTATGAATGAAACGCAAAGAAATCAATACTACTTGCAGATTTCTACTTAAAAATGCCTCCAACCTTCTCAGAGTCTTAGAACTCTAGCATAGGTCCGTCTCGAGTTTTGGATGAGGAGTTTCCTTCATTTTTGTAGATGGTAATCATTTCAGCAATTTTCCATTTGACCGTACCTTTAAAGGGTAGGTTCGCCCGGGTCACCGCCGGTGATGGCAGCAATATACGGTTGTTTTCTTTTTTCAATTTCTCTTCTTTCGCTGCTGAGACCGACTTTGAAAGCTTTCATGGGGAACTTGGTCTTTGGAGACTCTTCTCGGTCTCATTTTTCACCCTTAATGTATTCGGATACCGGACTTATTTTTATTAGCGCTTCAATGGTGTCTTTAAGTTGGATACAATCGTATGTGTTATGGTTATGCCACCTATGAAAGCGGTAGTATTTTGATTTATCTATCTGGCCAATCTCACGAACAAGGTAAGGGGGACAGATTCCTGTCTTTCTGAACTCAGTACTGACACATTCTTAATAAATCTTATCTTGGGAAGTATTCAAAGGCGTGTACTTATCGTACCTATTGGGTGCCCCCCTGGCGGTGTCTTCTTTCTGTCGACATGATTCCTTCTAAGGTGGACTGTCGGAGTTTGCGTTGGTAGCCGAGGTTGGGCTATCGAAACGAATATTCAATTTTTCTTCCAGTGTCATATAGGGTTTGGCCATGCTCAACATCTCTTGGATTGTTTTTACCTTATTTTTTCTTAATTTGGCATGCAAATGATGGTTGCGCAGGAGGACATTCTCAAATATCCATCATTTGAGGGTCTCTTCAGCTCCCTCTACTTCTACTGCAACCTGAGTAAATCGATCAATGTATGATCATAAGCTCTCTTTTGCTCATTGCATGATGCTGCTCAATACCGCTACAGTAATTGGTTGTCTCTTCCTAGTGGTGAGGCGATTGCGAAAATCTTCCCATGACTTAATACAACCATCGGGAAAACTGTTGAACCACAAACTGACTGGTCCAACCAAGACTAATGATAGTAGCTTGCACTTGGAAACATCGTCAATACTATAGTAGTCTACTCGGTCATTGAGGAGTTGGATGTGTTTGTCTGGGTCTCCTTTTCCAACGTATTCCCTAATTTAGGAGGTTTTTGCATTAACTTAGGGTTCTTGCTTTCCAAGATCCTAGTACATAGAGGATTCTTAGGTTATGCCCAGATTAGTGGATATTCGTTATGATCCAGGGGTGGAGCATAACTATCTTGGTCTCCCCTCCCAGACTTCGAGTAAGAGGGTTATTTTTTCGCCTTTAGAGTGGTCTTTCAATATCTGGACTTTGCTCCCCTTTGTCGTAGACAGCTTCGGCTTGTTAGGGCGATCTCTCCCGAATGAGGTTTCTTGAACTGAATTCCCTCAGGTTGAGCGTGGTGAATGTTTTCCTCTATTCGAAGGAACCTTTCTTTCATTGCTTTGGAGTTTTATTGTTGAATAATGTTATAGATGTTGTTAATCAATTCGTTCACGCCCTGAGTGCCTAGGTTTGCCTCAAGGATGCTTAAATTGTATGATATCTCAGATTGTTCAACAATTAGATGAGCTAGAATTCCAAGTGGTGGAACTTGGACAGTCCTTGCTCTTGGAGGAGGAAGGGTTAGATTTGGCCTTGGAGGAACGTCGACGTCAAAATTCATTTCTCCGGGAGGAGGAACGAAATTTGGATGATTGACTTTCTTCGACACCATGACGACGTCAACTAATGTGGCTTCATGTATAGTGGCAGAACGAGTAGCTCTATAACCATCCATTTCCAAATATCAAAGTCACAGATACAGAGGATTAAAGATCGGCAAAATTATAGATTGCAAAAGGTGAAAGATTTGAATAGATCGATCATAATCGAATATTATGCTTGATTTTTTAGATCTTTATTCAGCCGTTAAAGAGAACTCTACTTTTGAAAGTTGAACGCAGAGGGTAAAAAGTCGTGAGAACGCAGGAATCAAAATTCATTTTCTAGAAACGGTGTCATTGTTCCATTCTGGAACCAGAAATGGAGTGAGATGTGGAAGTTGTGGCGGAGTGGAGCTTCTGATGCGTTGAAGTAGGTTGTACCTGCAAGGTTAGCACTCTTACGATCAAGTTAGTATGTGAAAGAGTAGAAAGTATTCAAATTCTGTTAGAAATTTGTTACCTAAAATGGCGTCATTCCTTATATATATGGAAGAGAAATAATGACCTCGTTATCCTTCAAACGTGGAATGCGGAGGACCATTAGGTGTGCCTGGTACATAAATATTTTGAAGTGAGGCACATGATAGTCCAATAGTCAAGAGGAGATTCTAGAAGTGCGATTAAGCAACTGGTTGATACGTTTTTGGTCCAGAGTGTTTTATCCCAAGGTGGTCGGATTGAGAGAGGTATGACCGGACCTAAAACACTTGGTATGTAGCATTGGACAGTAGCAAAGCGTGTAATGCGCTACCTGAAGAGAACTAGAGACTTCATGCTTACATATCAAAAGTCAGATAACTTGGAGATCATTGGGCATTTTGACTTTAATTTTGAAGGATGTTTGGATAGTAGACGTTCCACATTTAGTTACATCTTTCTCTTAGCCAGAAGAACTGTCTCCTAGAAGTCTTCCAAATATACTTTATTGACTTCTTCCATCATGGCAGCAGAGTTTGTGGCTTGCTTTAGGGTATCAAATCATGCAATCTGGCTGCAAAACTTTGTCGCAGACCTACACATCATTGGGAGCATCAAAAAGTCCTTGAAATTTTATTCTGACAATAGTGCAACTGTGCTTTACTCGAACAACAATATGCGTTCTACAAAATTCAAATTTATTGATATCACGTATCTTGTTGTGAAAGAAAGAGTTTAAGAGAAGTAAATTTTTGATAGAACATATATGGACAAATTTAATGCTAGCTAATCCACTAACCAAAGGTTTCACATCTAAGGCTTTTCATGGTCATGTTGGTCATATGGATCTTGGTTTTGAAATTGTCTTAGGGTGGTGGAAGTATTTTCCTTACTTTTCTATGTTTTAGGTTGGTGGGAAGTCTTTTCCTTAATTTTCTATGTTTTATGCTTTGGTTTTGTTTTGGTTCAAACTTTATATTATATTTGATTTTCTAAAAAAAATTATATATATATATATATATATATATATATATATATATATATATATATATATATATATATATATATATATATATATATATATATAACTCATGAGATACTATTGTTATAACAATGCTAAGTTTTTTTTATCCGTAAATATTATAATTTTAAATTTTATCTAAGGAACTTCAATTTGATCTCATTAAATACTTCAGGAGGACCATTTAAAAATATGCACGATTTAGATATCACATTGCATAAAATTTTCATGTCACTCATCCATGTTGATCTATGTCATTAAGTACATTAATGTAGTGATCGTTGGGATTCTTCAAATTATACGTCGATGACGACAGATGTAGTGGTACTATTATGACTGTATAAAGTGGATCAGATTGTAAAGTTGAAATATAAAAATAAATAACATTCAGATGGACGCCTAAAAAACTATGATATAATTATTAAGATATATCGTCCGAGTAGAGTATTGTTGAAATATTTTTTTAAATATTATTTTATTATTTCAATAATTATCATGTGAGAATATATATTTTATTTATATTAACTATATTATTAAATTAAATGCCTTAAATAATCAAGTGATCATTAATTAAATTTTAATTTAAAAATTAATTAATTAATTACCTGAACTCAAGTGGATGTCAAGATTATCCATTTTAAAATAATAAATATATATATATATATATATATATATATATATATATATATATATATATATATATATATATATATATATATATATATATATATATATATATATATATATATATATATATATATATATATATATATATATATATATATATATATATATATATATATATATATATATATATATATATATATATATATATATATATGTGTGTGTGTGTGATATTAAAAATATTGGTTGAAAATAAACCACACATACTTTTTCAATTGATCTAGATATTATATAAATACATGACTATCTGAATACCGCATTAAATTATATATTATACCTTATTGAACATGTATATTTAACCGTTAATGAATTAACTTGAACACGAGAAGGTTAATAATACCAACAAAAAAATAGTTGGAGCATTTGAGCTATGACTTGATTTGTGAAAAGACAACTTCTAATAATTTAGGTTTACTTTGACAAATGTTGCATTGCATAGGGATACTACGTCAATAGTTTTCTCAAATTGCCAATCAAAAACGACAAATCTCAACAAAGATCCATTGTTAAGATAAAGTATAGTTACCAGAAAATCATCAAAGGTATACAATTTCCTCCAAAGTTGAACCAAAAGATATTTCTATCCGCCGTTAGGGGTGTAAGAAAAAAATCAGTTATTATTAATCAAATTTATATTTAAATTATTCCACTTTTTAAAATCTAAATTAAATGTTAAAATATAAATTTGATTATTCATTTTATTATTTAAATATAAATTGGTTTTCATGTGGTTTATCTATTAGTTATTCAAATTTTATTATTTATTAAATTAATATTTTTTTATTTCTTTTCATGTTTTATCATATACACATTATAAACTAATTTTATATTTTAAATTAAAAGATTCAAAATTTTGTATTTCAAAATGAAAAAAAAAAATTGTTTACAAATTCTCTAACTACCTAAAATGGTGTACTAATACTTCACAAATTATACGGACTTTTATCAATTAATTATATGAACTATACGGACTTTTATCAATTAATTATATGAACTTTCAGTAATTAAATATATAGATCTTAGTGCATCGAGTTTGATTTGACATGTACAACAAAATATATCAAAACTTGACTTATTCGATTTGACTCTAGTTTTCATTTATAAATCTCGAAGTTCATTAAAGTTTTATGAAAAAATAATTATAAATATTATAGATTTCTCCACCAATAGATACAGGTTTTAAAATGTACAAATATATGTATTATAAATATTAGTTATTATTTTAAGTCCATATAATTTGTTAAAAAAATTTATTTTCAATTTTTTTTTAATTTTTAGATTTTTTTTAAAAAAATTTATATATTTATTTTTAAAGAAAAAATATATTAAAATCTAAATATTTAAATTTAAAAATTGATATAATTTAAAAAAAAATTAAATTTAAATTTAAGTTAAAATCAAAATTCATTTAGAACCAGTTTTAAACTGGTTTAGAACAAGTGGTTTGGTTTATAAACCATAACCATAAAAATGGTTTGATTTTATAAACCATAACCATAAAAATAGATTTATTCATATTAAATGATTATCTATGCACACCCCAACCCACCATCCTTCCTTGGAAGATATAAATTCCAACAAATAATAGAATATTCCAATCCAATAGTAGCAGCATCCCCAAAACAATTTTAAACGCTTGTATTTGAGCTTGAACTTTTTGTTCCTTTTTCTCGCATAAATATCCCAAACAAACTCGATAATCCACTAAGAATGTCTCATAACCTAACAGATTACCAACAACTTACAAGGATGTCATTTACAATTTTACATTGAAAAGCCAGCACTAGGTATAATTTAGATTCTTCAGTTACAAATACAATGAATGAGCCAAATACACGACAGAAAGCCGGGAAAGAATTGGAATATATTGAAAAGAGAATCACTGCAAATCAAATGGACAAATATTCAATAAAAGACATTAATCACATTCACTTTACATGGGACTCTTTAACGAAAGTGACGTCCTCGGCACCAGGTGATGACAGAAGGAGTTTTTCTTGCTCATCGTCTGTTTCTGGTGATCTGTAGGGTGTGGCAGATGAGAGAGAGTCCGCAAGTTCATCTTCTGCAAACAGTCACCAGAGAGGTACACAGAATTTGTTACATGTATGAACAAGATGGAAAACTATAGTATGCATCTAGATACATGAGGCATCAACTCGTGAGTAACGGAATTTGAATTCTCTCGGAGATGGTTGTAAAATGACAATTACTGTCGCTTTAATTTATAATAACTTTACCCCTCTCCAATTCCTTTTTATAAAAAAAAAAATTATGCATCTAGAAATATGTTCGGTGAGGGAAAAAACATGGAACAAGAAAATATATTGTACACACCCGAGCATTCGTGGTATTCGGGTACTTGCTTAAGAGTTGTTACTTGAAGACATTCAGGAAGTAGACAACTGCACAAAGCACCTGAAATTTGACCAAAAGGGTGAACTTAGTATTACTTTCATTATTTCGATCATGAAAATATGGTTATAAGAGATTTTTCTTTCGAGTCTTACCTAGCTTAGCAAGGCGATTTACCCAACCTGGGGTCTGTTTTCCAAGCAATCTATATGAGACATCATTCGTAAAATGGTTGCAGTTCTTAGATATAAGGTGATAGGTATCGCCGTGATACTCTGAAGCCATGTTTTCAATAAATGTCCGGAACTCTGAAGGGCTAATATGTATTTGGCCCAAATCGATGGAACATCTGTATATGAATCCAGGGCAAGTCTTTGGCTCCGCTTCAAATACACCGCTAGCTGAGAAGTCATGGGCCCCAAATCCATACTCCTTACCGTATACTAATTCAGAATAAAAGAAACAAAGACTATAAAAACTTCCCAAGATTAGGAATAATAGCAAGGACTAGAAGTTTAGGACAACAGTAACAAGTAACAACAGCAGAGTGCATATCAACATCAATAACAAAATTAGGACATTTTCTGGAGGGGTAGCATCTTCAAAACAATTCTAACAAAAAAAGATAATAGAAAAACCGCATGCATATTCAAAAGAGATCATAATTCCTTAGATTTGCATATCAAATGGATAAAACTCAGTAATTTTACATATGCTCTTTCTTTTTTCTTGAAACTGATTCTCAATCAACGACGACAACAATAACAACAACCAAGCCTTATCCCACTAAGTGGGGTCGGCTACATGGATCAAATTTTGCCACAATATTCTATCCAGGACCATTCTCAATCAACAACCAGAAAAATAAATTTCACACACAAAACCTCTCAACACTACACATATCAACGACTTTGAGGTTGGTTTGTTGAAACCGTTGCTTGAAGAACCGATGGCTGGTGCAGGACTAGAAATGACGTTGTCAACTTTTCACCTCTGAACTATTCTAATTTCTATGGCCACACTCGACTGGTTCACTTAGTACAAGCAATGCCTTCTTCATTTTGGCTTAGCTGTTTCTGTTCATTAGCATGTTAACTTCCCCCTCTTTATACAGTTATCTCTTTGATTAACAAATCTTAGCAGCTAAAAAGTTGTGCTCTTAAACTTCTATTTCTGATTCAAGCACTACTTTTCAGTAACCAAGGTTAAACTTGTTTCTAACCCTTCATGGAGAAAAGCTGTAACTACTACTATAATCCATATAAGAAAATTGTTTCAGAATATGCTTTATGAGCATATTTTTACCAGAATCCTCCCTAAAATCCAAATTCCCATCTCAATATACAAGACAACATCATCAATAACAACCTGATACAAAAAATTGATAACGCTAAAGACCAAACTAGTACTCCTAAACAAACTTTCACCCTTTGAACTAGGACCATTCTTACAAGAGTGAGAGAGAAAAAACAAGTGGAGACAGATCAGAAATCAGAAAAACAAGTACCTTCAATGCCAGAGTGGAAGATCCCCAATCCAAACCAATACATATAATTGTTCATAGGTGTGAGATCGTACACATTCAAAACCACAAAACTGCTGTTGTTTTTGCTGCTGATATCGTCTTCCTCATACTGTAAGCTAGAAGAAGCGCTCTCCGCTCCCATTTTTTCTTCAATCAGTGAAATAATAGTTCAAATTCTAGAACCGAAAAGGAAATAAATAATGGAGATGAAGAAAGAGAAGAATCTATGAGAGATCCGTTTCCTATGTGGTGTGTTGGCAGAGATCCGCCTCCTCGGCACACCCAAGATTTGACTCTCTTGCTTTACTCTTTCAAGACAACCTAAAATATGGTCGAATAAAAAACAGTTTGTTTTATCACCAAACAAAATTTATTCATGTTTTTTTAGAATTTTTCACCCAAATAACTAATCTTACCCCACTTAATATCTAAACTACCTAACTTTCTCTCATATTCTCCAATCTACTCAACTTTTGTAATTTTTTTTTTTTTACAAGAGGCGCCATGGGTATGACTCCTCCCTTCTAATTTATATGGGAGCGCCATCCAGGATGGAGGCATCTTATAAATTATAAAGGGGGCGTCATCCCCTTTGGCTCCTCCCGTAAATGACTTAAAGGGGGGCGCCATCCCCTATGGAGCTCCCTTTATACGAAAATAATTTTTAAAATATATTATAATTAATATAATTAAAATATTATATTATGTTATTTCAAAAAAAAATTTATAAATAGGTAGACTTGTTGTTAACATTGTTTCATCCAAATTTAGAAGAGTGAGTCATGTTCCTTAGAAGATATGGGCATGTAATTTTTTCACTGACGAAGCCTCCGATAAGGATGTTGTTTTGGAACATCCAGAGTTTAGAACAACTACGAAGAAATTTGAATCGGTGGCTAGAAGGAGACATTCCAAATGGTGAAAGAATTAGGAGTATTGAAAGACTTGTCTCGTACTTCTCTGTTGAAGACGGAAACATACGGCGGGACTGGGTGCGAATTAGAGATGACAACAAAGTTAGGTATATGATGTTCGGAACTGATGATATTACTTTGATTGTTGTTATATCTTAGGTTATGTTGTAATAATCGTTGTATTTTAATGATTTGCGTTGTTGCTGTAGAAGTAATTCAATTCGTTTTTGTGGTAATGAAAAGTTGATATAAATATTAAATTCCACGATTACACAAATTTTAAAGACCAAATTAAATCTACCTAGAACTTGTTCCAACATTTGGACAGTTTTTCCTCGTATGCCCGGGAAGACGACATATTTCGCACAATCTTTCCATTTTCTCAGCTGTATCCATTTCAGTTGTAATTCGGGTGCTTTTGGGGCGGCCCTTTTTGTTTCTTCTCATATTTTCATTGTGATAGATTGTGTCTCCATGATAGGTTGGCCAGTAGTCCTCACTAGCTACCACTGGAAAACTGCTACTGTAGATACCGAATAAGTTCACGACCTTGTAAACTTCTGATAGCTGCAAGAATGGATCCTGACGAGCAGTTGAACATGCGGCAATGACATGTGAACAAGGCATGCGGAAGGTTTGAAACTTTCCGCAGTCGCACCAATTTTTATGAAGTTCCACCCTGTAGTGTCCCATTGGCCGACCCTCGTTGTGATCTATTGTCTCATCAACAATGAAGTTGTAATCGTGACGATCAAATGGTCTAACTCGATGTGAGACCGCCTTAGAAGTTTCATTCCTCATATACTTCATGCTTGATTCGCTGAATATTTGCCCTGATTGTAGTACATCGCTCCATTTTTTGCCTCTCGCTGCAAAAAGTGACCCCAATTTGTAATACGTTGCCCTTACCAACGCAGTGATAGGGAGGTTCCTAGTTCCCTTAAATACGCCATTTAGGGATTCTACAAGATTTGTGGTCATGTGACCCCATCTACACCCTCCATCAAATGACCTAGTCCATTTCTCGACTGGAATATTATCCACCCACCTTAATGCTTCCACGCTTGACAACCTTATTTCTTCTCGGTAATACATGAACGATGGTTGGTTTAAGGCATACCCAGCGTTCACAACTTTTTTACGGAGATTTCTGTCTTTAATGTCCCGCATAAAATTCTGAGCAATGTGTCTTATGCAGAAGACATGGACAGAAGGAGGGTTGTGCCAACCATTAGCAGGATTGTTGTAGGCGCTCACAATAGAAGCATGTCTGTCAGAAATCAGACATAAGTTGGGTTGAGGTGCGACATGTGTTCTGAGATTTTTGAGGAAGAAACTTCAAGCTTCGCCTGTCTCACCCTCAACCAGGGCAAAGGCAATCGGAAATATATTATTATTTCCGTCTTGTGCTACCGACATCAACAATGTTCCTTTCTATTTTCCATACAACCATGTTCCATCGACTTGTATAACTGGTTTGCAGAACGTAAAACCTTTGATACATGGTTGAAATGCCCAAAAGAGACAAGAAAATATCCTACTTCCAGCAACACATGTTCCTTCAGGAGTGTATGCTGGTAGTGACTCCAATATTACAACCGTACCAGGAACATATTTTTGAAGTGCTAGTAGATACTGTGGAAGTTGATGGTAAGAATGCTCCCAATTCCCATATACATGTTCCACCGCTTTTATTCTACCTATCCAAGCTTTCCTATACGATGGGGTATAGTTGAACCGTGCAACAACATGAGAGATAATTGTGCTCACCTTCACAGATGGATCCGCGCCCACAAGATGCAAAATCTCTTGGGATATCAATTGAGAGCTTAGTTTTCCATGATCTTGCCGATTGATGTTGGTTGTGCAACTATGAGGTGGATCCATCGAACCTATCTCCCAACAATCACTTCTTTTCCGATAGGACGCTGCTTCTAATACTCCTTCTAGCCATTTGGAATATCTTTCAATACTCCTAATTCTTTCACCATTTGGAATGTCTCCTTCTAGCCACCGATTCAAATTTCTTCGTAGTTGTTCTAAACTCTGGATGTTCCAAAACAACATCCTTATCGGAGGCTTCGTCGGTGAAAAAATTACATGCCCATATCTTCTAAGGAACATGACTCACTCTTCTAAATTTGGATGAAACAATGTTAACAACAAGTCTACCTATTTATAAAAAAAAATTTGAAATAATATAATATAATATTTTAATTATATTAATTATAATATATTTTAAAAATTATTTTCGTACAAAGGGAGCTCCATAGGGGATGACGCCCCCCTTTAAGTCATTTAAGGGAGGAGCCAAAGGGATGGCGCCCCCTTTATAATTTATAGGGTGCCTCCATCCTGGATGGCGCCCCCATATAAATTATAAGGGAGAAGTCATACCCCATGGCGCCCCTTTATAAAAAAAAAAAATTACAAAAGTTGGATAGATTGGAGAATATGAGAGAAAATTGGGTAGTTTAAATATTAAGAGGGGTAAGATTGGTTATTTGGGTAAAAAATTCTGTTTTTTATATTGTATAGTGCTTTTTCATGTGGAAATGAAAAAACATTTGTTTTTTTTTTTGCTACATGGTGTCGTGACTTTTTTAATGTTCGAGAATTTGTGGAGTACTTTACTTTGGTATCTTGTGTTTTTAATAGATTTTGTAAATTTATTTATTTACTTTAAAAACCTATTGCTTTCACTTTCTTTATTTCCTATCTTGTCATCATTAATGAGTAAAAAAACTTGTGTCATTATTGTGTTACTTTCCCACGTTTTTTGCTGTAAATATGTCTTTAAATTTGTGTTTTAAAACATTCTGGTATGGATTATTCTAATCATTTGTAAAAATGTATATTTTTGATGATTCAAAACATGTTTTTATAGGTTTATTATTCAAGTAATATTAAATAAATAAATAAATAAATAAAAAATGTGTGCGACAGGTTACAAATATAAAAAATAATAAGTCATAGAAAAATATTTAGGTAAAAGAATTATATTTAAGTAATTAAAATTAATGATGTATATTTATGATAACTTCATTTCATTTTAATAAATTAAATATTATAGTGTAATTATATTGAATGACAAAATAAAATAAAAATGTAAGAAGTATTAAAAAATTGTAGTATAACTAGTTTGTATATAATTATAAAAATGAAATAAATTTAATTAATTTAATTAATGTCGTTTGGCCCACTAACTGTACTTAACGATTTGGTATATGGACCCAACATACTTTCATCTCAAAAAGTATATATATATATATATATATATATATATATATATATATATATATAAACATTAGGTTTGTGTTTTTGGTTTTCTTCCAGATTTTTATGCTTAGAACAAATCACATATTTTGGGGAGTAGAAGCATGAAAGGTTCGAAGCCGGCAATGTAGAGGAATATATATTAGAGGTGGCAATGAAATTCATTTAGATAATATTCATTCAATAATTTATCCATCCAATTTATCTATAAGATAAAAAATAATTTAGTGGATTTGATCCAATCCATCCACTAACTCTTATGGATGGATGGATATCCATCCATCACATTTTATAAATTCATTGGATATTATGTTTTCACTTATTAAATTAAGAATTTTTAAATTAATTTTTTGGATGGATGGATATCCATCCATTAGAAATATGTTAATGGATGAATTGGATAGATTTTATCTTTTAATGGATGGATTGGATTGGATTTTTATTAAGAGAGTTTAGTGGATTGTTAATGGATTAATGGATTGCTTTGATCCATCCATTAACAATTCAATCTATATCCATCAAATCCATCCATTTTGCCACCCCTAATATATATAATAGATGAATCTTTATCAAGCTTGAGGTAATGAATGATGTTTTATTTTCGATTAATATACCTAATGAATCTTCTGATTTTTATTGTATTGTGAAATTCTGATCGGTTTAAATTAAAATTTTAAATCAGATATGGTTACTTGAAAAAGGAACATTTTTTTTCACTATAGACTTTGAGTAGACACTATGGACTTAAAAAAATAAGCATGCATATAAAGATTGTATCTATTTGGATGATGTTATATTTTAGAGTTTTTTTTAATTATATATAGAGATAGAAAATCATGTCATTGACTAATATTGTTTTTTAGTACGGAAATACGATGGAGACGATTAAGGCTATGGTGATGGAGTTTGATGAAAGTTCTGTAAAAACAAAAGGTGTTAACAAAGCTGACAA